GAATAATAGTGGACATAGGAACAGTTATTTGTAGGTTTTCCGTAAATTTTAAATTTAAATTCATTATTGCCCTTAATAATTAAAAAATCTAGAAAAGGTAATGAGTTATTTTCCCCAAACTCAACAGTAAAGTTTATAGAATGGGCTAAGCTATTTAATTTACCAAGGAAATGGTGTATATCTACATTCTTGGGCATAAGACATAAAATATCATCAACATATATGAACCATTTAGCTCTATTAGGGAGGATTGTGTTAAGTAGCCTTGTTTCAAAAAATTCCATGTATAGGTTACTAAGAACGGGTAAAAGAGGATTTCCCATTGCCATACCAAACTTCTGAGTGTAAAACTTATCATTAAATACAAATTTTGCAACAACAATGCAAAGTTTAATAAGTTTAATGATAGTAGGAACTGGTCCGTGCCATCCCCACCCTACCATCATCCCTCTACCCCCCAGGTCATGTGGTTTGAGAAAATAAGTTTCTCGTTAGATGCTGTAGACGAAGATTGCTATTATTCTGTGTGACCTTTTCAAATAATGAAAGAAAGGAATACAATGTGCTCTTTGTCCGTTTAAATGTCCTGCTCTGAGGTACTCGAATGTTCTACCCATGTACTCAGAAGTATCTCTTCCTATATATTGTCTACTATTTTTCTCAGTGTCGGTTAATATGCCATACATGGGGATCTTCTATGCCTATCCGATAATATTTCTATGATCTAAATTCTACTAATACCATTTAACCTCTTCCTACGTTATCTCATTATCTTGTTTGCTTGTCATTGTATGGTACTTTAACAGCTGCACGCGTTATATAACCATCACAACTGACGTGGTTTGAAGTTTTGGTGCGTAGACACTAGTCGGGCGTCACCAATCCATCAACCCACCGGGAATAATGAACAATCCTGTGATTTTGTATAGCATTGTTGTTTAAGATTGTGTACAATGGACTCTACTAAATAGTTTTTCGAGCTTGTATAACCCATAATTTGAGTTGTATACTGTATTCCTTTCATGTTTCAAGAGGGTAGATTCAATTATATTTCGTTCCATGACAGAACTGTTTGATACTATAATTTGGGCAGCATCCCACCCCGTTGGGTGATTACATGAACTAACGTGGTTAAAGATAGCATTCGACTCCTGCTCTGTCCTGACTGAGTATTTATGCTGGGCAATTCTGGTTTCTAGAAATTTACCTGTTTGACCGATATATGAGAGAGGACACAGAGTACATGGGATCTTGTAAACCCCACCAACATTGTTGGAGGGTGTGTTTTTAATCGGCCTTTGTTTCACTGTCCCCGTGTTTTTGAAAGCAAGATTTATATTGATCTTTTTTAATTCCTCACGCAGGCAAGCCAGAAGGCACTAATGCTGACATTAGTGCCTTATCGACAAAATCCTTAGGATATCTTAGTTTTGTGGCTATACTGAATATCTTGCTGATTTCGTCCTCTAGATACTCTGGACTGCAGATGCGCAAGGCTCTCAAGAAATTGTGAGGAACAAGCTCCTTTTTTACCCTGGTTTTTTGATTGGAATAGTAGTGAATATATGACGACACATTGATGGACTTCCTATAAACTGTGAATTTGAATTTTCTATCGGCACGATGGATTAAAACATCTAGGAACGGCAAAGTGTTATTTATTTCATGTTCTGTGGTGAACTTAATGGAAGGTACGAAGCCACTGAGTCTGGGAAGAAACTCATCAGTGTTGTGATCATTAGGCCACAGGAAAAAGAGCATCATCTACTTGCCTGAATCAACTAGCTTTATCTGCGAGAATGTCTTTAAGAAGTCTAGTCTCATAGAATTCCATATACAGGTTGCTGAGTAAGGGGCTAAGGGGATTTCCCATTGCCATGCCTTGTTTTTGAGCATAGAATTTCCCTTCAAAAACGAATATGCAATCAGTTACACAAAGTTTCATCAATTCATTTATTGTTGTAGTGGGGAAGGGCATGGGGAAGTTTTCTAGTTCCTCTTCGATATACGAAAGCAAGTCAGGGACAGGAACTTTGGTGAACAGAGCTGTGACTTCAAAGCTCACTAATGAAAAGCCGTGAGGGATATTTAATTTCTGGAGCCTCTCAGTGAGGTTAACATTATTTTTAATATGTGCGTCTGAGATCTTACCATCCATTGGAATTTGAAGTTTAACCAACCATTTAGATAGATTATATACTGCTGAGCCTACTGAACTAATAATGGGACGGGCTGGGTATCCTGGCTTATGGGTATTGATTACCCCATTTGGATATGGTAGTTGCTGACCTAGCCTACAGATATTTAATTAATTCATCATTCCCTTTCAATAACGTTTTAAGGTTTATTAAAATGGCTGTTGACTTGGTCAGTGGGTTTTTTAATGAGCGGTTCATACGTTTCATTATCACTGGTTCATTTTCTCTAAATATTAAGTTTTGTCCAAAATAACAGCTTCCTTAGATTTATCACCTCGTGAGAGGTGCAACGTCTGATCATTATTGAGTTCTTTGTAAGCATTTGTGAATCTTAATGGGCAATTGGGAAACGTTGGTTGGAGTAAAGTCCCATATACCATACCTTTGCATATATTAAAATTACCAGGGGTCAAGTCACCGTGTTTTTCCAGTATGCAAATGCTGGGTAGGGTAGAGTAGTTAAACATCCTGTATCAAGAGCCCTTCATCAGCATCAAGGCTTGTAGGGTTGCCGCTATAGAATCTTTCGTGGTCGTGCCTTTCCACTTTCACGCACGTGTACTGGTGTGCACTGAACATGTATCAAACGACAGAAAAGTGTGAAAAGAGACTTATTTCCTGAAATGTACATAAGTGTCTTTTTCCACAATAACAAAATACCATTTTTCAGAATGTCAATGTCATGAATACATCAAGTTTGGTGTTACTCTTCCCTTCTCTATCGGCATCTCAGGTGATGCTGCCAAAATATTTCACATAATTGTATTCTCGTCGGAAATGCGAATTTATCGCCACACCGCCTTCCAATAATTACCTCTTGAAAAGTTGAAGGTGTTGGGGAGGGTGTGTGTGAAGTGGGGGGGGGAGGGAAGGGGTAAAATATGAGAGAGTCGATAACAGCGTAGCCAGATCCTTTTTCTCACCACGCTCAACCCCCTCCCCTCCAACACAAGCTTCAGAGAGTTGTTAAATACTTTTGTTGCTTCCTCCCCGTGTACCTGCTAAATTTCTCTCCTCGTAGTTATGCTTGCTTGAGATTCGGAGTGTGTACACACTCATCGGAAAGTTATTTTTTTTTGTTGTTTATGTTGATTTCTTGTTAAGAAATGTTGTAGTACATCGAAGACTAGATGATATTTGATGTGGTTGTGAAACTCATGTGGCGCCAGGAGAGCGGGCTGCCACTACTGATCATAAAATAAAGTTTGATATGAGCTTATTAGCCAGTCTTCCATATTACCTTCCAGGCAGTCTTCCATCTTACCTTCCAGGCAGTCTTCCATATTACCTTCCAGGCAGTCTTCCATCTTACCTTCCAGGCAGTCTTCCATCTTACCTTCCAGGCAGTCTTCCATCTTACCTTCCAGGCAGTCTTCCATCTTACCTTCCAGGCAGTCTTCCATCTTACCTTCCAGGCAGTCTTCCATCTTACCTTCCAGGCAGTCTTCCATCTTACCTTCCAGGCAGTCTTCCATCTTACCTTCCAGGCAGTCTTCCATCTTACCTTCCAGGCAGTCTTCCATCTTACCTTCCAGGCAGTCTTCCATCTTACCTTCCAGGCAGTCTTCCATCTTACCTTCCAGGCAGTCTTCCATCTTACCTTCCAGGCAGTCTTCCATCTTACCTTCCAGGCAGTCTTCCATCTTACCTTCCAGGCAGTCTTCCATCTTACCTTCCAGGCAGTCTTCCATCTTACCTTCCAGGCAGTCTTCCATCTTACCTTCCAGGCAGTTTTCCATCTTACCTTCCAGGCAGTCTTCCATCTTACCTTCCAGGCAGTCTTCCATCTTACCTTCAAGGCAGTCTTCCATCTTACCTTCCAGGCAATCTTCCAACTTACCTTCCAGGCAGTCTTCCATCTTACCTTCCAGGCTATCTACAAACCAGCTCTCTAGCCAGCCTTCCCCAGAGACTTTCAGTCAGCCTTCTAGCCGCTCTTCAGATCAGCTTTTCAGTCATTCAGCCTTTCAACAAGTCTTCCACACAGCCTTATATTCAGTCTTTCAGCTTTTAGGTATTCTTACAGGCAGCCAAACATGCAACCTTCCAGTCAACCTTCCGCACGTGAAGGAAAATTTGCTGGGTGTAAAAAATAGGATGAATCTAAAAAGAGTGCGTCAAAATTAATGAAAATTTTCCAACAGGTTGCCCTTAGTCTTCCATGACACCCCGCCACCTCCCTTCTAACTCTTGCCCCTCCCCCCCTCCTTCCTTTTATCTCTCTCTCCCTCTTTCTTTTACAAATAGGGTTGTTAACTTTATTTACATGCTAAGAGCTGTTACCTACATCAGCTTATTTGAAAGCCTTTTAATTGTTATGAGATTACGCAAATAGTGAACAGCATGAAGTTGGAGCCATCTGTGGGCCAGCGATTTCATTTGGTCAACTGACTTTATTTCGTTGTCGTTACATACTCAAGGCACAAGTCATCCTAGGAATAAATGATTTCAAATAAAGTGATGTTGTGGAGAAGGGTACAGTCAGAGTTTAGTTGTTGTTTACTGCCTATCTTGATGTGCAGAATGTCATCTCTCTCTCTCTCTCTCTCTCTCTCTCTCTCAAGGGGGTTTGGCTTATTCCGTAAGTTCGGCACGACACTATTAATATATATATTATATATATATATTATATATATTATATATATATATATATTATATATATATATATATTATATATATATGTCGTATGCCATATTTTTTTTATAATAAAAACTTGATTCATTGGTTATATATAATTGCAACGACTCATCTTGCTTAAAGGACATGTGAAATATTGTGTCTGCAGTAATATCGCAAAAATCATTCTGAACCTAACGAAAAAAATATATTTCATGGTGTGTGTTTATTATTTATTATTGTAAACGTATCTAAAATATATTTAATTGGATTAGGCTAAATTAAATTGCGTTTGTTATAAGGTTAGGTAAGTTTTCTAAGGTTCTTTTGGTACAAAATTATTAATTTTTACATTAACATATATGGAAAAAATATACCTTTAAATGTAAAAGGAAAAATGTTAGAGAGGACTTAATTTTAAATGAGTTATTGCTAATTGACCAATTTTATCTATTCGACGTACACACACAACACACACACACCACACACACACACACACACACACAACACACTACAACACACACATATATATATATATATATATATATATATATATATATATATATATATATATATATATATATATATATATATATAATATAGCGCAAATTGTGGGACCCATAGCCTCGGAGAAGTAGATAAAAAGGCTTCAAGGAAAAATATTTGGATTTCTTCCTGAAACCATTTGAATAATCTACGCTCCCTACCACCCCAGCTGGATGACCAGCAATAAGGGAGCTACCCCAGCTAGGCAGATATGTTGGTAACCAAAGCGTCCAGATGGTATATCCCTTCAAACCTGAACAGACTACTCATGTGCGTCTACACTCTTCATACTTATCTCCAATACATCAGGGAGGAAGGAGGGGCAGCTGCCAGCTTCACGGAATCCCAGAAGTCTAGAAAATATGGTGAACTTGCCAATCATTAAATGTTTGTTCCCATAGGCTCAGAGACCCTTGGCCAATGGAAAAAAAGTACATCTAAGTTCTTTAAGGAGCTAAGTAAAAAACTCGTCAGGGTAACTAAGGATCTCAGGGCGACTAATTTTCTGTTCCAGCGACTCAGCGCTGCGGTTCAGAGGGGTAATGCCTGCTGTATCTTGGGCACGCGCCCCAGTTCTGAGGAAGTGGATGAAATTTTCACATTGTAATCTGTGACAAACATGTAGTAATATGTACTTGAAATGTATCCTTCAAACTTCATGTACTGTATATGCCGTCTTTGTACCAGCAATATATCCTATTAAGTTTTGTGTACCATATTATGTAATAAAATGAACCTGTTGGTATATTTAATCGCAAATACATAGGAATGATGTTAGTCGGTGCATCGGTGATGTGGTAAAGTGTACATTCAATGAAAAGTTGTGCAGCTCAGTTGAGCTGGGTGAAGTGACTGATGTAGATAAGTATTTTTTCCAGATAGTGATAAGATTTAAATATAAAAATGAGGAACAAGGGGAGTAACCTAATCATCATATTCCCCTTCTCCCTATCCTCACTCTACCTCACCCCCCCTCTCACAATCACGTATCATGCCTCCCCCCCTCCCCTTCCCCCGTTTGATTTTTGTTGACATGTTTATCTGCAGATACCGCTCGTCCCAGATCTAATTAGTACCGTCGCCGCCGCCTCACAATATATCCGGCTTCCAAGCAAGAAACCTTGAAATCTTCTGAAAATCCTCGTGATCTTCTGAAAAGTCTTCAAGAGTGAAGGAGCTGCATTCGAAAGTATTTATTGTATATATCTAATGCCAAGGAACGTATCCAAAGAAGTTTAAATCGTGTACCTACTTCTCAAAGATATCTGCTTGGTTCCCCGAGGTGTCTGAAGTCAACACTCTTACTTGTATTTGCTATCTCAAGACCTCTGAAGAGAGTGGCCGCTACACCAAGCCGTCTGAAGTAAGCACTTTCTGTCTCGACATGTTTGAAGTGAGTGCTTGGTGCCTCAAAAGTCCAAGGTGAGCTTCTGAAACCTCAAGACTTTGATGTAAACACCAATTGCCCCTATGAAGTGAGTACTTTGTACTAAAAACCGTTTGAAGCAAGAACCTGTTGCCGAAACATATATGCTGTTGAACGTATGGTACTTCAAGGTGTTTAAGTGAGGGTTTGTCTTTCAAAAAAATGCATTACATTAGCACTTGGTGTCCGCAGGTGCCTACAGTGTGAGTGCCAGGTGTCTCAAGGAGTTTCAAATGATTGCGTAGAGTTCCAAAAAGGCTTAAAGTGCGCAAGTGCTTGCTATTAATAAGACGCCAGAAGTGAACAACCATTGCACTAAGAAACAAGCAGTGTACCATAGTTTGTTAACTGACTGCAATGTATCTTGGCCTATGACTTTTTGTCCCATGTCTTTGATGGTTCCATGTCGTTCACCATGACATCAACATTTAAGAGATATTGACGTATTCACTAACATGAAAATTGCTTCATGACCCGGAAAAAACTGTAATTATAAATTTAAATAAATACATTTACTAATCAAGTCCTGAGAAAAGGCATAAACATTTACATAAACTGGTGCCTTAAGGGTGCAAAATAGGTCCCAGTTTTCGTTCTAAAATATCACAATTGTTATCCTCACATTACTGAAAGAGCAAAGTACATCAACCCTTGGACATGTATCCCAAGTTTGTCTCTCGTTGCTATATATTTTTGCTTGTGTTTAGCGTGTATCTGATTTCTTTTATAAATTATCCCTGGTTATATACGACAATTCCACGTACAACGCCCCTTGAAGCTCCTGATAAGACCGATGTCGCAAGAAAACTTACTGAAGGCCGGAAAACGATACTCTTCTGGAATTTATGGTTTGGGAGCCCCTGGAATGAAAGGTACAATACTGCTTCTCTTTCTAGCACATTAATGATACTGATATCTGAGGTAGAGATTGATAATATAAATGGCTGAGATTGATAATAAAAATAATCCGTTGCATAAAATGAAATTTCCCAATGACCTTAAAAGTTCCTGGAAGGAAATAATATCAAGTAATGTACACCCTTTCCCATAATTATTAGGAGATTAATACTGGCCATTATTATCATTATTTATTTATTTACATATTTATTATTGATATTATTTATTATTATTATTATTATTATTATTATTATTATTATTATTATTGTCATTATTATTATCATTGTTGTTGTTGTTGTACTTATAAGAAGTGCTAAGATGAGAGACTGAAGGTTACTGTCAGATACCCAGACAAAGTAAGGAACAATTTCAACCAGAGCAGCGGTTATGTTGAAAATATAATAAAATACTAACTTGATGATTAAGAAACATGTTGAACAGTTACGCATCTCTGTTGTTGAAACGTTTCGCCTACACAGTAGGCTTCTTCAGTCGAATACGGAGGCAGCAGGTATAGTAGCGAATTGAAGATGATGTAAAGCAGTCCATCAACCTTGGAGAAATAGCATTTGAGGTGGTCAGTCCCTCAGCCTGGAGAAGAGTTCAGCTCCATGGTCTGGAAGGATATGAACCCGAACCATAAGAATGGAGTCTTGTATACTGTCAAAGGTGAGATGGAAGATCTCGGAGACAATGAACAGGACTGGATTCGCTAGTAGAAGAAGGCAGGTCCCTCTGGACTCCAGTCCTTGTCACTCATAACAGGTACCATCTTCATTTCACTACTATACCTACTGCCTCTATATTTGACTGAAGAAGCCTACTGTGTAGGCGAAACATTTCAACAACAAAGATACCTAACTGTTGCACATGTATCTTATTCCTCGACTTGTCGGTATTTTATTCCCCTTTCAACATAACCGTCAGACACTGCAGCACAACGATATCTTGGTACAGAGGACACCTTCCATACTTCATCGCGTAACTACTAGTTATGAGTGATAAGGGTTGGAGTCTAGAAGGACCTGCCTTCTTCTACTAGGGAATCCCGCAACCTTCATTGTCTTCGAGATCTTCCACCTCACCTTCGACGGTATTTAAGAATCCATTCTTATGGTTCAGGTTCATATTTTTCCAGATCATGGAGCTGAACTCTTCTTCAGGCTCAGGGACTGACCACTTCAGTGCTATTTCTCCAAGGTTGATAGACTAGTTACGTCATTTTCATTTCACTATCATACCTGTTGCCTCCGTATTTTACTGAAGAAGCCTACTGTGTAGGCGAAACGTTTCAACAACAAAGATACCTAACTGTTACACATGTCTTGATCATCAAAGAAACGGTTTCTACAATTTAACTGAACCTCTTGTAAGAAAACTTCTGGGACGATTGCCAATCATTGTGACCTGACTCTCACCCACTTGCTCTTCACTACATTGACAATTATTATACTATACATGCGCATACGGTCTTAACCAGATGTATCAGTTTGCGACTTGATGAAATCCACTGCATGGGCGAAACGTCGCCAGTAAAGGCTCCATGCAATTACATTTATGTTTCCTTTCCATCACATCTGTGGCGTTGCATGACCAAAATGGGAAAATCTCTTCTTCGTGAATTTAATAATGAGCATTACTGATACCCAAAAATTCCCACTTAAGCATTTGTCTAACTAATTTTTAAAGCCACTTATGTTATTAGCGTGTTGAAGTTCCTGGGCAATTTTGATCCATTCAGCTACAAAACTTCCGCTAAACCTGCACTTTTGTATATTCTTCATTACTCCATAATTTAATATTATTTCCAATGGCTGGAGTAGCTACGACTTTCCCCAACCTCCTCCGTTCCCCTGAAGGGAACTGCAGCTGGAGTTGGAAATATACAGACATAGATTTATTCATGGGTTTTCTTAGTTTATTTGTGGTTCTGAAATTTCTAGCTTAATTTTAACTTCCTTAAAATATGTTAGTTTTGTAGAAAGTCATGTAAATTAAAGTCTGTTGTAAATCATTTAAATTAAATTATCATAGTTGGGCAATTTGATTGATGTTATAAGTAGAATCTTAAATGTTTTTAATACATTTTCATTTATTGCAATGCATTTTTTAAATCATGATGGATGAAGAAATGTCAGAAACGTTAATAAAAAAAATCGGATGTCCTTTGAAGATGGTATTCATCACAGCCATGATTCTTATTCTTATAGTGAAGATTTGTTTTCCACTTGGAACCTCAATTGCTAATGTAAGTGCTTCAAGCTATGGCCAATCAACGCTTCATTTATATTGGAAATTGGAGATGACCAACTTTAGAATCAAGAATATTCGTCTAGACCTGGAATTTGTTAAAGCCCATAAAATTGTAATGGTATGCCTAAATTTTTACGATTCAAAGGATACTCAAATAGATTATCTGCTTCCTTGCTGCACAAGTCCTGGCAGCGTAAATTTTTGAATTTTGAAATCAAGGAGAAAATTTAACTTTTGAATAAAATAAATTTTAAATTTATAGAAATTTCTACCTGTTTTAGAAGTTACACATCATGGACTGACTTGCCTTCTCTTAAATGTGAACTAATTAGCTCCAGTATTCGCTGCTTGGCAGCTGTCCAGTTAACACCTTCAGCAGTCAGCTAGCCCGACATTATAGTTGTTTGCCTCGGGGAGCTGCTTGTTTCAAGATGGAAGGCAATTATACGAGAAAAATTATGACTGTGGCTTTGGAACTAAGTCAAGGATCTTTTCTGGAACAAAAATGAGAAGTATTACTTGTAAGAATAAACCACAATATATACGGTTTGAAGGACTAATATTTTCATGGTATCGAGATCGTGAACCACCAGAGGACCCTCTGAAGATGAATAACATCAATGAATATTCTCGACTGTCAAGATATTGAAATGAATATCTACGGGTTGCAGAAAGTAAAGTTGAAAGATGTATCTACAATGTAAACATGGATCCGTATACGCGGATTACCCTTTGAGGCAGATGAAGAAGATTTACGTAGTATGTTTAGGAAATATGGTGAGATACTCGACGTACAGTTTCGTACTCAAGTCTTGGTGACATGCTGGCCAACAGAAAACCTGCCGTGTGTGTGCTAGTGTAGAGCATTTTGCAAACGAGTGCCCTAAACGTAAGTTGCAAACAACACCTGGACGTCATTCAAGAGACGATCCATGGGGACAAGCCACTACTAGTGTTCTTAGTGTTGGAGAAACGCAAGTTCAAGTGCGCCGACAAGAAAATAGTGAAGGTGATCATACGGCTCAGTGTTGGGAATTTAGAGGAGTTTTCGACTGGGCACGGAAACGGCTCAGTGTTGTGGTCAAAACAGTGTGAAAGTACGCTGGATGGAAATGTCTTTGGAAAGGAGTGTCAACATGTGCAAATTAATTGTGGTGTGGATCGGCTGGAAAACGAAAAAAAACAGACGGTAAAAATGAAAGGTTTGGATCAGAGTCTCAGGAGAATTGTATTTTTGTTTCTAATGAAAGCGTTCTAACCCCATATGAGAGAGAGGTTTATGTGCAACATGTGCTATCTTTCGTTAGGAGCCGTGTAAGTCTGGAAGATAGGGTAGAGATTGAGGTTCCTATAACAGAAGACGAGGTATACGCTACAATAACAAAGCTGGGAAAAGGTAAAACATCTGGAATCGACGGAGTACCTGTCGAATTTTATGTTTTTCACAGGGATGTTATGAAGTCATTTTTATTGCGCATGTTTAACGAAATGTGAACAAAAGAGAGATTGGAAGCAATGCAATCGACTGGAGTTGTAGTTCTTGTACCGAAATCGGATGTTTCCAAGAACCCTTCTGATTATAAGCTGGTTACCCTCATGTGTAGTGATCATAAGATATTTACGAAAATGTTGTGTACTAGAATAAATAAGACAATTAAAAGTATGATCGGGTAAGAACGATATGGTGTTCCGGGACGGAATGTCGGTTCTGGGAGTAAGATCTTGGATGGTTTTATTCAGAAGGCGAACGAATGTCGCGTTGGTGCCGGAATTTTGGCTCTGGATTGGAGACGAGCTTTTGACACAGTATATCGTGAGACATTACGGAGAATTTTGGAAAAAAATGGAATGGGGAATGAGTTATTATGTTGATTTCGTACCCTATACTTCATGCCATCTGTTAGAATTCAAATAAATGGTAAATTGGGAGGACTATGTAGCATGCACAAAAGGATCCGACAAGGATGTCCAGTATCCCAATTATTGTTTGCAGTTATACAGAAACCATTTTATAGGGCAGTTCGTGAACGAGTGGTACCCGTTGATAAATTAGACACATGTGCAACTCTTGGGTATCTTAATAAAGATACCCAAGAGTTGCACATGTGTCTAATTTATCAACGTGTTGGTTCTCTGAACCATTCATCTACAGAGTGGTACCCGGTTCACTAAGTGTAGGAGGACGTGTCTTCCCGAGTATAGTTGAGTATGTCGATGGCAGCATAATATTAATAAACCAGGAGTCTAACGTGAGTTGTGGAATACAGTGCACATGTGTGAATTTGCGACAGTATTGTGCAATAATCCCCATTAGTCCAAAATAATGGGATTAGGTTTGTGCGTGAATAAGAGTGATTGGAATGACAGTAACGTCATTGTAGTGGCAGAACCTGTAAAAATTTGTGGTGTATATTTTAATAACGATACGGCGAAAGCTAGAGAATGTAACTCAGTCGCCGGTAGTTACAATATGTTGAAGAGATTAGGAACTTTGAGGAACATAGGGATAACTACGTTACAGAGAGAGGTAGTGGTTAACACACTGTTATACTCAAAAGCACTGTATGTATCCAATGTATATCCATTGTTGGAAAGCGTAGTACGTAAAATACACTCTGCTATATTTAAGTATGTGTGGGGTAAGAAAAGTAAATGGCTGTATCGGAAGACGTGTTACCTTTTAAACATGGTGGTAATGGTTCGACAGACATCTGTAGAAAATCTTGGGTGTGTATTTATTTAGATTAATTAAGCATGTTGGCACATTTCATGACAATGGATTACAAAGAATATATAAACGTATTAATGTTGATTTGTGTTCAAAAATAAGATTAGCACAGAATATATTAAGGAATAGAATGTGCGTGTCCGATTTGGATCGCATCACAGTTAAAGTATTGTATAAATTCAGTGTCGATAAAAATTGTACATGATTTGTATCCATTATATAGATGGAAACGATTATGGTTATTATTAAGTAAATTAAGGATTATGCCTAATCAACGACCTTTTATATAAAGATATGCATGGTATATTACCATCTAAAGCCATTCTTCTTATAAAAACAGTGATCAGGGAGGGATGGTGCCAAAGATGTGGATTATTAGGTACAGCATTGCATGAGATTTATTTTTGTTATAGACATACTGGAGTAAAGATTTGGATGAAGAATGTATCATCATACGTTGCAGTACAAGAAGTACAGTTGTTGCCTGGTATTAGTTTTGATTTTTTTTTTTTTTTTGGGGGGGGCAGGGGTTAATGAAGACATGGAACGAGCGTTAGCCTACCTGGTGACTGATTATGTGTATTTCATGTAGAGTATTAAAGATTTATTATTAATGAAGAGTACATAATTAAGTTGTTAGCTGGAAAAATGTATAGAACTAAAGTTAGAAATCAACATGTGTTTGGAACACAGTTCTCACAAAAGATTCCAGTTTGGTATCGGGAATTAACATTACAAGAACTGTTGTTAGGTAAGACACATATGCAACAGTTAGGTATCTTTATTTCGAAACGTTTCGCCTACACAGTAGGCTTCTTCTTACTGAAGAAGCCTACTGTGTAGGCGGAACGTTTCGAAATAAAGATACCTAACTGTTGCATATGTGTCTTACCTAACAACCTGTCGGTATTTTATACCATTTTAATGTTCATTACAAGAACTGATTGGTTTATATCATGTAAATTGAAGTGCTTAATAAATTATTAAATAATGTACTGATGAACATGTAAGAATATATGAGTATAAATATATATAAAAAAAGGAAATGTAAACGTATGTAGCTATATGCACGTTGATATCTGTATGTGTATGGGATGTTATAAGGTACTGAAGTTGTATAAACTAATTGTATTAATATTCTCATGTTTTGGTTCGGGTAAAGTGTATTTGTATGGTGTAGTTATCATGTCAAGTTTATATATGCTGGAATTATCTCTGTCTTTTGTATATAAAGTTGTAATTAAATAAATAAAAATTAGCTCTAGTTTAGGTAATGTGAAGAAACGGTTAAGAAAATCAACAAGTTGATAAATAAGACACTTCAGAAATATTTAGGTGTCTTTATTCTGGAAACGTTTCGCCAGTCAGTGGCTTCTTCAGTCCAACAATTACTTTTTTTATGTAAGTTTTTACAGCCCAAACAAGAAAACATCATGATATTCATAAACTAACATCCCTTATTATCACCAATATGTATCCGCATTTATTCATAAAACACAATATTATACAACTTTCTGGAATTTCTTCTCCATCCAAGTTTTTTTTTTTTGTCTGCCCTAAACAATTTCATTTTAATTCAGATAACCAACACATAGGAGAGAGAAGCTTATGATGACGTTTCGGTCCGGGTTATTTGTGTATTGTTCCAGTCACGGTATTGTGCCTTTTTGTTTTTTTAATTTCATCTTCCATGTGTTAACTATTATGAAGAGTTCGCGACAACTTCCGCATCTTTCTTTCCAGCTTTGGACCAACTGACGCTGAAGGGTTGAAGCTGGAAGGTTGCCCGAATTGGAAGTGCGACTTCACTTACGACCGTAGCTATTCCAACATCGCCGACGCTATTATGTTCCCTGCCGGATTGTAAGTAGGTGGGGCTACCACGAGATCCTTGTGCAGGCAGTCATTATTGCAAGAATTTTAGGCTGTGCTTAACTCAAACCTTGAGATGCACATTGCACAGCAACCTGTGCCATATTCAGAACAATTCTCTCATTCTCGCACAATTTTTCAGGTTCAACATGAAAGATATTCCCAAAGGGCCTAGACCACACTTCCAGCGTTGGGTGTGGTTGGAAGTCGAGGCTCCAACAGAACCTGGTGGATTGAAGACCGCCAAGACTCTCAGGAACCACAAGATGAGCCACCTCGTTAATTGGACCATGACCTATCACTCGGAATCAGACATCGTCGCCTTCTATGGCCACTTTCTCTCACTTGGAGCCACCGTCAGGTGAGTTGACAGCCTTTAAGCACTGATAAGGGATAGAGGCTGGGAAGAGAAAGAAAGAGGAAAGGCAAGAAACACAGGAGAAATAAGAAATGTTCAATATCCCATTTCTCTAAGTAGCAAAAATACTTATGGATGGAGTTTTTCATTGGGCTTTTCTTCAGGCCACTTCGACCCAACCTCATGTCCGACCACAGCGAGGCTATGAGGCGGTACATGGCGGCGATGGAGCGAGGTGACACTCTGGAGACGGTGATGGGTCCGTCCTGGAGAAGCTTCGTCAAGCGTCCCAAGGTGGTGGCGTGGATGTCCAGCCACTGTCCCACCAACTCCAAAAGAGAGGAGTACATTGCTGAGCTTTCCAAATACATCACAGTAGACAAGTAAGTGCATTTTACCTTAGTCTGCTAAATTTACTGTACGCCAGCATAACGAAGGGAATAGTTTTAGAATCTTAATTACATTTCTAATATGGCGAAAATTTGATTAATATGTAATATTTAATTTAATACTATATGTGGTCGATAGCATTTGATCTATTAATTTGAATTACCAATTATCTAATACGATCACTTTGATCCTTTTACTGTCTTTAGTCTTCAAAATAACCTTCCGTCCTGTCAGAGCAAATACCTCGTTTCTCTTTCATTACTTGTCGAGAATTATGGCTGATCACTTTCCCATTTCTTTATTAGTACGAGAATAAAAATAATTACAATTCTACCTTTAAACTTCAAATGCTCAATATGAATGCCATTTGAAATGCAGAATAAAAAATTAATGAAAGTCATGTGATCCAAGATGTTTACCTGGGGTTTACCTAGAGAGGGTTTCGGGGGTCAACGCCCCCACGGCCTGGTTTGAGAACAGGCCTCGTGGTGGATTAGGGTCTGATCTACCAGGCTGTTACTGCTGGCCGCACGTAAACTGATGAACGAACCACAGTCCGACTGATCAGGTACTGACTTTAGGTGCCTGTCCAGCGCCTTCTTGAAGACAGCCAGGGGTCTATTGGCAATATCCCTTATGTATGCTGGGAGGCAGTTGAACAGTTTTGGGCCCATGACACTTATTGTGTTGTCTCTTAGTGTGCTCATGGCACCCCTGCTTCTCATTGGGGGAATGTTGCATTTCCTGCCGAGTCTTTTGCTTTCGCAGGGAGTTATTTTCGTGTGCAAGATTGCTACTAATCCCTCTAGGATTTTCCAGGTGTATATTATCATGTATCTTTCTCGCCTGCGTTCCAGGGAATACAAATCAAAGAACTTCAACTGTTCCCAATAATTCAGGTTCTTTATCGTACTTGTGTGTGCAGTAAAAGTTTTCTGTACATTCTCCAATTTCGCCAGCCTTGAAGGGGGCAGTTAGTGTACAACAGTATTCCAGCCTAGAGAAAACAAGCGATTTGAAGAGAATCATCATGGGCTTGGCGTCCCTAGTTTTGAAGGTTCTCGAATAAGTGAACCAGAAGTTACATTATTCGCATTAAATTATCCAGGAGCATTTAAAACTACTTAATATTGTTTGCTTATCTTTATAAGTATATACGACAAAAAAAAAACTCTTAACATTAACATTGATGTTCTTGAATGACTTATACTGTTTTTTTGATGATGTTATAGTTTCATTGCTAAGCTTTTCTTTCAAACCTGGAATTTGTGATGCATATTTGTTTTCCTCGGAATCTGAGTCTCTTAGATGTCTAGATTAATAATCCAGTGAGTGCCACTCTGTCATCCTTGAGGAATATTCAGAACTGAAGATGGTTGGCAAGGCTCTCACCGATCACCTTTGAATTTATGAAGACACGCATATCGGCATGAATGTCACGTATTTTAACCAAATATTACGCAGTGTATTGTAAAATATATGTAAATAACACGCTCCATATATAATGTCATTGTACTGGATAAAGTCTGAAACCGGACGTGTATTAGTCCTGAATGGCAGGACAGGACGGGAGCACGTGAGCTGTTTTTGAGTTCAGTACGAGGACAGCGTTGACTGGATCAGGATGTAATGACGTCAAGGTTTGGTGTTGGTGTAAGTAGGTGGTTTACAATAAAGATAACCAGATGTTGCACAAGTGTCTTGACTTTCATCTTGTCGGTATTGTATACCTGTCTTGCACAGTAAAACAAATGTCAGTAAATGAGCCGTCAGTACAGAAAACAGCGCCGTTCTAACGTTAAATAAAATAAATTTGCATCGCCATGTTTGTTCTGTAGAAAGATAAGCTCAGTAGAACATGAACATCGACTGCATTTGAACGCTCATCATCTTCCTCAATAAGCTGTCCCAGCACGAGAAAATGATCGTTTTTTGATATGGCATGTGAGGAACCGCCTACTGGAACAACAATTCTAGCAGTCTAGTGATTACTGGAAGATCATCTGCAGCAATATTATAATTGCATTCATGGAAGAATGATAAACCCGTAGGAATCATATAGCATTTATGAGAACGGAAGGCAATCAGGATCAATTCAAGGGAAGGAAGAACTGGTCCAATTGCCTGAAACAAGAGCCCTTAGCTAGCATCAAGACTTTTCTCTCACTCTCTCTCTCTCGGAAGGTCTTAACCTGCAGATATATTCAGTGGGCTAGTTATCCACACTCATGATTCGTATATCATACGTGAGGAAGCTGATGTAGCCATTCCCCACAGTATTATCATTGGAGTATAAACGTTGTCATAACGGCACAGTTATCTTTCTGTTGTTATTGCATTACTTATCAGATAACTACCATAACGGTTTTGACGGAGCCCTCCAGTTAAGGACGTTCATTATTCACAGTTGTTAAACATATATTTTCACAACTGCTGTCAGTTAGTCCATTTACTGTGGCATGGATAAAACTATTGCAAGAAATGAGTTGAAAAGTCTGGGAGAGACCTGTCAGCAGACAGGTCCAAGGGGTCCAGGGACCCAAGACTGTTTAATTGCCTCCCAGCATACATGAGGGGGATTACCAATAGACCCCTGGCTGTCTTCAAGAAGGCGCTTGACAAGCACCTAAAGTCAGTTCCTGACCAGCCGGGCTGTGGTTCGTACATCAGTTTGCGTGCGGCCAGCATTAATAGTCTGGTTGATCAGACCCTGATCTACCAAGAGGCCTGATCTCAGACCGGGCCGTGGGGGCGTTAACCCCCGAAACCCTCTTCAGGTATACCCTAGGCACGATAGATGTTAAAATATGCGCGGTGCAGGTGGGGTTAGAACTCATGGCAAGTGAGTCGTGAAACTCCAGGGCAGTGCGTAAGCCACTTGCCATGAGTTCTAACATCACTTGCACCATGATTTGTTTACAGTCGTATTATTACAATTACGTGAGACACGATAGACGTTATTCACAAATCGACACCATTGCAGCTAGATATGGTCAAAATTGTGAGGCTGTTGAAACAATGTCAAATACTCCTTACAAAGTTTTACTGTCAAGGACAGGACGAAAAGATGCAAGTTATTTGACGAAACATAATACTTTATCTTCGATTGCTGCGACATTCATTGAAACCATGAAAGGGGCATATTTTCAGGAATGCATATGGAACATTTAGGCCTAAATCGATTGAAATTTGTGTGGGAAAAGGATGAACTTGAAAAAATTCTCTGTGGTATCAGTTTGCCTCAGGTTGTTCCAGTTGCACCACCTGGATACCAGGATATCAATATAACTGCAGTCTATCACAGTTAACTGTATACAAGTCCATATACGAACCAGAGACAAATTTAAAAGAAGAGAGTATTGATTATCAACTTGATTTACATGATATTATATTTAATATTTTATATTCAAATCAACCTTAGCCACTGCAACTGCCAAATTATATACTGTCCAATGGTACTGAACTATGGAGTATGAAGTTGTCGTTTCATTATATGTATTGCTTATATGCTCTTCTTCATTATTTGATATAAATGTCAGCAGCATTATCTTGCCTCTTAGAAAGCTACCAGTCGTGCAGGGGTCAGGGAAGTGGGGTAAATTACCCCAAACGGGGTAAAAATTAAAATCTCGGGGGTAATGCAGGCTCGGTAAATATATGAATAAAATTGCACAAAAATTTATTACTAATTAAATATTTTTTTATTATAGCCTATGATTCCATTTGTAGATATCTGATAGTGCTCATATAATAATATACATGTTTCGTGGTTTTCAAATAATTTTCAAGCCTAGGGGGTAATTTGTCCGTTCACAAATTTGTTTTGGGGTAATGACCCAAAAAAATTCGCCGACCCCTGCAGTAGTGCATGATAGGTTGAATCCATCTATATTTACCTCCGATGAGGGTGATGTACAGGTAATCAGCATAGTCACCGTAACGATGAGCGCCTTAATAATATAGCAACGTAAGCTGAAGCATACTGACGTGGGTTGCTCAATCACGATAATATGGAATAGTCCATAGGTAAACAATCTAGATTGTCTTGAGTTGGTCCTCACTTATCCTGAGGAAATTAAGTAGAACTAAACAAATTTTAAATGAGAAGAACTATTAAAATGAACCTAAGCTTTACCTACTTACAGGTATGGGAGTTGTGGAGATATTCCATGCTTTCGCAGAGAACCGCGAAGCGGTTTATGTTGGAAGACCGTGTTAAGTGGCAACTACTCATTTTTCATGTCTATGGAGAACAACTTATGTGTAGACTATATCACCGAGAAACTCTACAACCCGCTGGAAAACAACATCGTCCCTGTCGTCTGGGGAGGTACGTACGAGGAATGTGGGCGGATTATGCATGTGACGATTGTAATGATGCTGGTCGGTGTAGGAGTAAGGATGGGTGTGTAAAATAATCAGACCCCGAAATTACAGGTAGTGACTATGATCAGTTCCTTCCTCCACACTCTTACATCAATGCTCGGCACTATCACCCGCAGGAACTGGCCCGCCTCCTAACGCGGCTACACGAAGACCCCGTCGCCTATGGCAGGTAAGCACTAACATAGATACAGTGATCGATGTCAGGTAAATACTAACAGTACTGTGGCCTAAGGCAGGTAAGCACTCAGGCTGGTATGGTCTATGGCAAGTAAGAACTAACATAGCTGCCTCATTACCCTCAGGTACCACATGTGGCGCGGCTACCTGCAGGTGTTGAACCGACGAAGCTTGTGTGAGCTGTGTTCCCGCCTGCACACCGACACAACTTACAGCCACCACAAAGACATATCTAACTGGAGGATGAGTAGCGGCCAGTGCCAGTTGGCTCCCAGCAACATGTTCAACAGCAATCATGGCAAGAACTCCTGGAGGACAGTCATCTCTACGAAATACGACAATCATTTCAATGCTAGTGTTGTCCCGTGATTCTCCTAGATACAGAGAACGTAACTCTTAAAATATCCGTATTTATGTAAAATTAATCCACGTACATATTAAGTTGAAATATATCACTCGTGGTCTGAGGAATTAGACCTTTTGGTCTCCTTCCTCAGACCAAACCTAATTACTCCCCAATCCCCCCTTCCCTATCCCATCCTCCACATTCCCCCCTTTTCCCTTTCCTCTCCCCTCCCAACCCTCCCTTTTCCCTGTCCTGTTTGTAGCCTCTGGGGTCCTCCCCTCTAGCATTACGGTTTCTAGGTAGGAGGAAAATGTGCCGGGGTTCATCCCACTCCGTGGGGTTTCTCGGGAATAGTGTAGTTTGCGTGGAATCTGGATCATCTGGAGGTGCCCTGCTTCCTTCCTGGATTTCCAAGAGGTAGGGCAGGGTATCTTGCTGGTGATGGGTGTATCTCCAGAGGTTGGCTGTTGGTTCCGGGAGGTGGCAGCCGAGGGAGGTATGCTTTGTTTCGGGTGTCTAACCGCCCTCTCTTTTGTCAGCCGAGGTGGCTTAGTGGCTGTGAGGTTGCTGTCCCGGAGCACTGGTTTGCTGGTGTGAAGGGTAGGGTATGGCACGGGTTCCACGCTGCATCTGCATTGCTGGCGGTTTCGAGATCTTCTTGGATGAAGGGGCTGTATAATCCTACGGGATTAGCGCTCCCCTATGATTATTATAATTATAATTGGATAAAAGGAGGAACTTATGGCCTTTCCATGCCTTCTAGTAACTGTCCCTCCACTGTCCCTTTCTTTTTTTTTTCTTTCCTTCTTTCTTTTCTTTTGTAAAATAATTAAGAAGTGCCACCATCATGGAGTCTTCGTTCCATGATCCCCCGTCCACCTGCCAGGCCCCTTTTTGTTACCGCATTCTCTTCTGACCCGGCTTTGTTGGACCATTCTCCAGACTTTTCCCATACACCTGCACCTTCTGCTGGTGTTACTTCAATACCTGCTCCAAGTGCTGAGGCTCGACCCATTTCTTCTAGTGCCTTTGCCTCTTGCACACGTTTAACTATGCGTCTGGCTTCCCCGAATATAGTACGAAGTTTTTTGAATTGCTCACCGTCACAGGTCGGGCCGCCAGTGGTCCTATGCCTAAATGCTCCAGACCATTTGCTAACGATGGTTCTTCAATTTCTGCTCACTCCACCCTGAAACGACCTACACGACACCCATTTGCGTACCATGTTTACAAGTACACAGTGGACCACATTCTTTTCCTTACAGACGACATCTCCAACTGATTATCTTTCAGACCATAGTATTGGTAAAGCTCTTTTATGACATGCTGGCCAAAATATATCCTTTCACGCTTTTTTGGAGCAGTGCGCACATTTTTACAGTTCAGAATGCAGAACAAGCTCATAATCTTTCCCATCTTACTTTCATTGATAACATTCCTATCACAGTTTACAAGCATGCTACTCTCAATTCTTGCAGTGGTACTGTGGTTTTACCAGTACCATTGTACAGTGTGATTTTTTGTCTTGGGGTGACGATATTTTGGAGGAATTAGCCCTTCAGGACCTTCCATTTCTCAAAGTGGATAAATATGTCCTGCCCGCTCATGGGCAGAGGCGCTTTCCCAGTAACATCACCCGCTTAACCTTCGACTGCCATGAACTCCCGTCCTCCATTTATATCACTGACCATCGCCTAGGGGTCCGTAAAGTGGTCCCTACACCCCGACAGGGTCGAAGTTGCTGGCACTTCGGACATCCCACTAAATACTGCAGGTCTGCGGAGTGCCTGGTCTGCACTCATCCTTTTTCCCACCGATATCAGGTCTATCTTAATGAACGAGAAGTCTGTTGTCTTAAGGAGAGCAAAGGCCATACTTATGCTAAGGCTGTCTCTCGGCTCTGCCTTCAAGGGGAATCTTTCTCATGTTCCTTATTCTTGAGCAACTAGGAGGCCTGCAACCTTGACAGTTCCCCCGCCTTCCAGCTTCTATGGTGTCATGTCTTCCGGGGTCATCGCTGTCTCTAATTCTTTTTTGGTTTTACCCTCTGAAAACCCCACTTCCTTACCTCTTCCTGCTTCTACTACTACTTCAACTCGCCCGCTAGCGTCTCAGTCTGCGAGGCCTCGCACGCCTGCACCTTCTTTGCGCCTGTCACCTGTACAGCTGAACCTGTCTCCTAAGCCCAAGTCTCTTTGAATTCCTCCAGTACTTACAATTACCCAACAGTTCTCCTTTTCGACCCCGGTACCTAGTTCTCACCCCCTTTCCAACTCTCACACAAAGGTGGAGGTTTACCTCCCCTCGTGTGGTCCCCTCTTCTGTTTCCCCACCAGACTTCTTCCCCAGTCCCCTTCCAGCCTCTTTCCTCTCCTGTTCCACCGCAGGATTCTTCTGTCCCTGCTGGCACATCAATCCAGGTTCATACTCCCTTCCCTTCTCAGACCTCTTTGGTTCCCTTCATAGTCTCCCTAATATCTACTTGCTCTACCTCACCTGTTTCTGAAGTCATGGTATCGGCATCTTCCTTGTCCGCTGAAACACTTGATGCTATCTCCAACTATATTGCGGAGACGAAACCTTCGATGGACACCAGTGCTCCCCTTCTTATTTTTCACAACCTTCACAGCAATCTTTTCCTTCACAGCATTCTGATTCCGCCTTGCATACACGTTTTCCGTTGCCTCCACACAATGAATTCACTGACCCTACTATCCTGTAGATTTTATCACTTCTCATTGTTAGTATACCTGTCTATGTGAATAATGACTTATTTACAATGGAATATTCGCGGCCTCAGAGGTAATCGGGGAGAGCTCCAGGTGTTGATCTCCCAGTTTTCCCCAGTATGTGTCGGGTTACAAGAGCCTAAAGTTCGTTCAGCAGTTATCCATCCCGTTTCGAGCTATGTGCTGTTGCACTCTTCTGACCCCTTCCCTAATGAAACTTTTAATGAGAGTGTGCTTCTTGTGTGCGTTGGTATACCGTTTCAACAGGTCTTTGTTCATTCTCAGCTGCATTATACTGCAGCCCGTATTTATTTGCACAGGTGGTATATAATTTGCTCTCTATATCTCTCCCCTTCCCATGCATTCAGTATCTTGGATGCTGCATTCTTGCAAGAGCAGTCACTCGCCGCGTCATACGTGATGCTAAACGCAGTTGTTGGCAGGACTACGTTTCTATTGTTACATTGACTTCCCTTATGTGTGCGGTTTGGAAGAAGGTATGGAAGTTGTCTGGCAAATACGCTCTGGACACAGGTCTCGTTTTGCAGGTTGCTGGTGTTGTTAGTGTAGTGGAACCTCTTGAAGTTGCCATGGAAATCGGGAGCTATCTTGTCTATCTCCCAAGGGCTTCACCTCTGTCCTTCATTTCTTGCTTCTAAGTCTGCCAGGGAGCAATCTCACTTGGATTCACACGTCCCGCTTGCCGGTCATCAGGAGCTGGGCTCGATAATGGTCATATTCGTATGCTACAGCACTGCATTCTACAGCCCTTACAATCCTTTAGCGTCTTTTTAATCTTCTCTGGATGTGAGGGGTTCTCCCTCAGCAATGGAAATCTGCCATTGTACTACCGTTTTGCAAACCAGGCACTTCGGGGCTTGATACCTCTCACTATCGTCCCATTGCTCTGACCAGTGTAGTCTGCAAGGTGATGGAATGATTGATGAATAGACAGCTGATATGGTATTTAGAGACTCACAATAGTCTTTCTCCTCGCCAATGCGGCTTTCACAAGGGCCACTCTACTTAGATACATATGTGCGAAATACCTTTGCTAATAAACACTCCGTCCTAGCAGTCTTTTTTGATCTCGGGAAGGCATATGACACCACCTGGAGGTATAACATCTCAGCCCAGGCCCACTCCTTAGGCCTCTGTGGTAATATACCGCCCTTCCTAGCTGCTTTCTTATCTGAAAGACATTTAACTGTCCGTCTTGGCGCCTCACTTTCCTCAGACTTTGTTCAGGCCTAGGGGGTCCACAAGGTTATGTCCTTAGCACCACCCTTTTTCTCTAGGCTATAAACGACCTACTTTCCGTCGTCGTCACTTTATATGGATGACTCTGATATAGCTTAGCAGGCGCTGACTGTCGCCTGGTAGCAGCCTCCCTTCAGGATGCAATTAACCCTGTTTCCCATTGGACCACTTCTTGTGGATTTAAATTTTCTAGTGCGAAAACCCATTTCATTACCTTCACTAGACGTCCTCTTGTCCCAGATATTTCATTGTATTTAAATGGCTCACGTATCGCACGTATCGATGGCCAGTTGACAAGGAAATCTCACTTATCCTTTTTGAAGGAAGCTTGAGCATCGTTCATGGGGAGCAGATCGCCAAACTTTCCTCCATTTGCATTCCACCCTAGTCTTGTCCAAGCTGGATTATGGTGACCAAATCTATTCTGCGGCTTTTCCTACAACTTTTTTTAAGTTAGATCCCCTTCATCATCAGGATCTACGTTTATGCCTTGGTGCCTTCCGTTCATCCCCTGTTGAAAGCCTCTATGTTGAGGCGAATGTTCCCTCCTTATCTGATCGTCGTGACGTTCAATACCTCCGTTACTTTGTCGCTCTCATGACCTTCGTGTTCTTTCTACTTATAGATTAGTCTCAGACGTTAGTAGAAGCCCGTTATTCATTCGGCACCCCTGCTTACTCCAATCTTTTTCTCTTCGTATTCACTCACTCTGGCCTTCTCTCCAGTTGCCTCCCTTGTATGTTCACATAGCATCTGCCTTTTCCCTTTCCCCTTAGGAGGTTCCAACGGTTTGTCTGTTCTCAACTACTGCCATACGCCAAAGCTCTCCTACCTACGGCTCCTTCTCGGTCTCTTTTTCATGATCACTTCCCGTCGCATATGCATGCCGTCGCTCTTTCTAGAGATGGTACTAAATCTTCTGACTGTGTTGGGTTCATGGTGGTGTGCCCTGACAATGTTGTCCAAGGTCATTTGTTAGATTAGTATTTTTATCGCCGAGTTGTTTGCCATCCTCATAGCACTTCTCCATATTACATTGTCTCCTTTGGTGTTTGTGATTATTTCAGATTCTATCAGCACTTTTCAGGCCATTAAACAATTTGATTCCCCTCATCCATTGGTCTTTCATATTCAAGTTTGGTTGCGCCGTGTGGCTAGCAAAAACAATGACGTCATTTTCTTTTAGGTCCCTGGACACATTGATGTATAGGGCAATGAACAGGTGGATGCTGCTGCACGGTCAGCAGCACGTGATTTTCCAGTAGCTACAGAGGCATTCCATTCAGAGGTTATTTTACAGTCATCTCTGCCGTCTTCATTGCCTTTGGCAACAGCGGTGGTCGGACATGCACCAAAACAAATTACACTCTATTAAACCACTTAGGTTTGTGACCATCTTACCACTGTTGCTGCACTCGGGAGACTTCACTCTCCTGTCTCCGCATCGGCCATACTCGCCTTATCCATGGGTATCTCATGGAACGACATCCTATTCCTCTTTGTGAGGTTTGTCAGGTCCCTATTTCGGTTCTTCACTTTCTTGTGGATTGTCTGGTTTACCAGTGAACTCGCAGGATTTACCTCCATCGACGCCGCTGCCCTACTGCTCTTACCTTATCTTCCCTTCTTGCAGACGGCCTTGTCTTTGACTTACGATTATTTTTTGACTTTTTGTCAGCAACTGCTTTACTGTACGAACTTTGATAAATAGCCCTTAGCATCCCTTCCAGCCCTTTTCTCCCCCTCACCTCTGATCCCCTCTCCACCTAGCTGTTTATAGCCTTGGCACTATTATCTACCCCACAGCACTGCATGACCCTTGTCGGTTTAACACTTTATTTGATTATAATACTGTGGTCGTTAAGTGATTTGCTGTTCGTCTGGTGTTATGATAGCCTGTATTAAGAACATAAAGAAAGAACACTGTAACAGGCCAACTGGCCCATGCGAGGTAGGTCCAGTTCTCCTCCCAACTTAAACCAATGACCCACCTAGTCAGGGCAGATCACATCCACTTAATGAGGGAGCACAGTATCAGACCTATTAACTCAAGCTAGTCAGGTCCAACTCACACCCACCCACACCCACTTATGTATTTATCCAACCTATTTTTAAAACCACACAACGTCTCAGCTTCTATGATGGTACTTGTGATGTAGTCCACTATGCTTGTGTCTCTGAAGGGAGATCTAACTTAACCAATTATATGTTCACACCTTGCCTTGGCAAATAGCTGTCAGACACGCCTTTCAGCTTGAGTGGGTCTTAGCTGTGATGCCTGCCCTGTCTCGATTTTCAGATATTGAAGTGTGCACGTGAAGTGTGTTGAAAATGCAACCTAGGTGATCATGAAGTGGTCCAGTTGCAGTTACTTGAAAGAATGCAGCCCATTGGAGCAGTTTTCCACGCCAATGAAGCCTAGATATGTTTGGCCCAATGGTTAACTTGCGAGGGTAACTAGTACCGGCTAGTGCATTTTCAGTAGAAGTAGGGAAGGCACTGGAGCCAGATATTTAGTTTTAAGGAGAAATGATGGGTAAAGAGGCTTTGCACCAGAGAGCAACCGTTATGCTAGTCAACTGCCAGGTGTACTGATTATGCTGCCTTGTGGCAGTTAAGAAGGTTGAGGGAAATATATGTAGTTGAATAATTTTTGTATTATGTTATGTGTAATTTTGTCTTTGTATTGTAATAGGATTAAGGGCTTAAGATTAAAATAGTCTGATAACTTAGGACAAATTGCCCTAGCTCTCAGATATTTTAAATTGGGGGAGAAAGGGGGAGGTGATGTAGTCCACTATGCTTGTCTCTCTGAAGGGAGACCTAATTTAACCAATTATATGGTCACACCTTGCCTTGGCAAATAGCTGTCAGATACACCTTTCAGCTTAAGTCTCAGATCTTTTGTTCTTGACGGCGTCAGGTCAAAACACGTGGTGGACACCCCATTGTGGGGTGATTTGAGGACAATATAAGCCCAAGGAACAGCATGATCAAGGAGTCTAGCGGAGCTCTGGCCTGTGTGCAGATCTGAGCTAGAGAGTCTCTGGAGGAGACTCTGTTCGAGACATTGGGCAGAGTACTGGCTTGGAGCAGTACTCATGCTGTGTAGGTCTTGGGACCTGTGGCTAGTGTGTGACTTAGTTCCTGTGGTGAACTGTCCTCTGAACTAATTATAAGTTATATTCTGTTTCGTCAGTTGATTGTATTCCCTGTCTCACTGCTTATATGTACTATCTCCATTTATCTAAACCCCAATAATGTTCTGTTCCCAAATATATTATTGTGCAAGGACTTAATAATAAACTGTGAGTGGAATAGTAATATTCACTGTCCCCATTATGTATTCATTCTTTTATTCATTAATGTATTTAAAGTAGTGAGAGGGTTAGTAGTGTGGTGGGTAGAGTAATGAGAGGTGATAGTGTAGTCACCAGTGACTTCACAGTACCTCCACTAATCACTCGACTCACCTCTCCTGCCTATCCCTTGCCCTTTTCCCTAGTCGTCAACAGAGTAAAGTCCGAGGCAGCTACGGTGAAAAGCTCTGTTCCACAAGGCACAGTACTCGCTCCCATCTTATTCCCATCCTTTTCCGACATAGACAAGATGTCAGCACAGCACCGTGATTCTTTGCAGAAGACACCCGAATCTGCATGACAGTTTTTCACATTTCAGACACTGCAAATGCTCCAGGCAGACATCAACCAAATCTTTCAGTGGCTGCACGAAACAATATGAAGTTTCAACGATGAGAAATTCAATTATCAGATATGTAAACATGAGGAAATTAATCTTCATCAGAGACAAACAAATTCTGGCCACAAAATAGAGCGAAACACCAAGTCAAAGACCTGGGTAGTGATCAATGTCGGAAGATCTCAACTTCAAGACCATAACATGTATCAATCGCACTCTTCTAGAAAAATGACAGATGGCTAATGAGAACCTTCAAACTTTGGGAGGCCAAGCCCATGATGACACTCTTCAGGTTCACTGTTCTATCTAGGCTAATATTGCTTGCACACTAACAGCACCTTTCAAGGCAGGTGAATTCCGACCTAGAAAATGTACAGATGAACTTTCAGCGGCGCGCATAACGGAGATAAAACACCTCAATTACTGGAGCGCTTGAGGTTCCTAAACCTGTATTCCCTGGAACGCAGGAGGGAGAGATACATGATTATATACACCTGGAAAATCCTAGAGGGACTAGTACCGAACTTGCACACGAAAATCACTCATTACGAAAGCAAAAGACTTGGCAGACGATGCACCATCCCCCCAATGAAAAGCAGGGGTGTCACTAGCACGTTAAGAGACCATACAATAAGTGTCAGGGCCCGAGACTGTTTCAACTCCTCCCAGCACACATAAGGGGGATTACCAACAGACCCCTGGCAGTCTTCAAGCTGGCACTGGACAAGCACCTAAAGTCAGTTCCGGATCAGCCGGGCTGTGGCTCGTATGTTGGTTTGCGTGCAGCCGGCAGCAACAGCCTGGTTGATCAGGCTCTGATCCACCAGGAGGCCTGGTCTCAGACCGGGCCGCGGGGGCGTTGACCCCCGGAACTCTCTCCAGGTAAACTCCAGGTATCCCCCAATTATCCATTACTTTCCATACCCCCCTATATGACATACTCGGCAATTTGTTCCACTCGTCCACAACTCTATTACCAATCCATTGCTCTCCTTTATGGTTTCTGAATCTGAATTTTTCCAACTTAAAACCATTGCTGTGAGTTCTGTCTAGGCAAGATATTTTTAGCACACTATTTACATTCCTTTTATTTATTCCTGTTTTCCATTTCTACACCTCAATCATATACCCCCCTAATTATACGCTTTTCTAGAGAGTGCAGATTCAGAGCCCTCAGTCTATTCTCATAGGGAAGATTTCTTATACATGGGATCAACTTTGTCATCCTTTATTGTACGTTTTCCAGTGCATTTATATCCATTCTGTATTACTGTGATTAGAATTGTGCAGCATAATCTAAATGAGGCCTAACCAAAGATACATAGAGCTGAAGAACAACCTGGGGACTCCAATTATTTATGCTCCTTGATATGAAGCCAAGGATTCTGTTCACTTTATTGTGAACACTTATGCACTGTTGTCTTGGTTTTAGGTTACTGCTAACCAGAACTCACAAGTCTTTTTGGCAATCAGTAATATTAAGATCTACATTATTTAGTTTTATGTGGCATGGTTATTTTTCTTGTCCGACCACTACATCAGTCTATTCAAATCTTCCTGGAGTGTTCTAATGTCCTCATTAGAATGAATTAGGTGACATATTTTGGAGTCATCAGCAAACTTGCTTATGTCACTATTTATTCCCTCATCTATGTCGTTTATATAAATTGTGAATAACAAAGGGCCCAACACTGACCCTTGTGGAACATCACTCGTGACGTGCCCCCACTATGATTTCTCCTCATTGATACAAATTCTATGCTGCCTATCTGTCAGCCACTCTACCAAGAAAAAAAAATTCCTATTCTGTGTGCCTTAATTTTTCTCAATAGCCTCTGATGCGGAACTCTATCAAAAGCTTTACTAAAGTCCAAATACACAATATCATATTCATTGCCATTATCTACATCCTCAAACACCTTGGTGAAAAAAGCTAGGAAATTCATAAATTATTTTACGCCTTTCAAGATGGCCATCCCTTCTTTTGATACGCCTATATATGCCTCTTTTGACCAATGAGATGTTTTAATCTATTGTTTGTCCATTTGGTATCATTTTTGATTGATCTATATTCCCTACTTGGAACATAAGTTGCTGGGCAGCTGTTGTTCTATGGGGCTAGCAAAAACAAAGATATCGTTTTCGTTTGGGTCCTTGGACACGTTGGTGTGCAGGGTAATGAACAAGCAGATGCTGCTGCATGGTCAGCAGTACATGATCTTCCAGTTTCCTATAGAGGTATTCTGATCTGGGACTATTTTCCAGCCGTTAGCAACAACAGTGGTCAGTCACTGCACTCTCCTGGCTCCGCATTGGCCATACACGCCTTACCCATGGGTATCTCATGGAAAGATGCCCTATTCCTCTCTGTGAGGTTTCAGTTCTTCACACTCTTGTCAATTTTCCGGTTTACCAGCAAGCTCACAGGATTTACCTCCAACGGCGCCGCCAACCTGCCACTCCTACTTTATCTTCCCTTCTTGCAGACGGCCCAGCCTTTGACTTACATTCATTTTTTGACTTTCTGTCAACAGCTGCTTTACTGTACAAACTTTGATATGTAGCCCTTAGCGTCCCTTCCAGCCCTTTTCTCTCTTCACCTCTGATCCCCCTCCACCTAGCTGTTTATAACCCCAGTATTTTCTGCCCTGCAGCACTGTATGACCCTTGTCGGTTTAGCGCTTTCTTTGATTATAATAATAATGCTGGGCAGCTAGAACTATGTTCTGAAAAGCGTCATAGTGGCAACCAATACCACCTACTGACCCATACTCAGGTCGTTCCAATTTAGCCCACCCAGGTAATTTCTCAGTCCCATGAAATCAGCCAAGCGTAAGTCTGGGATAGAGACTTGATTGCAGTTATTTGGTAATTCCATGATATATTGAAACTAAGTGATTTGTGATCGCTTTCCCCAAGGTCATCATTAACCTCAAGATTATTAATTAGTGATTCCTTGTTGGCAAGAACCAAGTCAAGTAGATTGTTTTCTCTAGTTGGTACTGTCACAAACTGCTTTAAAAAGCAATCCTGAATTGTATCAATAAAGTCACTAGACTAGATTTCCTGTCACTTGTTCCAATCAATTTGTCTAAAGTTAAAATCTCCCATTAACACGACATTTTTATATCTAGATGCCTTATGAATTTCATTCCATAGCAGCTTACTGTACTCCCTCTCAAGATTTGGAGACCTATAAATCACACCCAAAATTAATTTGTCACCACCCTCAAGAAACTGTAGCCAAACAGATTCTGTGTCCGATGCTCTTAGTCTCATATCTTGTCTAACACAACACATTTAAATTATCTTTGACATACATCGCCACTCCACCACCCTTCCTGTTGATCCTATCAGTGTGGAATAGTTTATAGCCTTATTGTGGCATTCAGAAGGCATTTGCCTATCAGGTTGAACCAGGTCTCTGTTATAGCAATAATATCTATATTGCCTGAATATGCAAGTAATTTTAGCTCATCTATCTTATTTCTTAGACTCCAACTATTAGTATATTACTCCTTAAGGGAGCTAGTCACCCTCTGCCCTCCACTGTCTCTTTGTTTGTTGATCAAATGCAACTTTATTTTGAATATTGTCTATTAAACATATCCCTGAAGTAACCTGGTAATATCTGCTGTTTTGATTGTTCCCACACACACCCATACCTCTACAATCAATCAGCTTAAAGTCCTAGACAAGTTAGCAATGGACCCATAAATCGAGTTGGCTAATGCAGCCACTCTGGCCCCTAAGAGATGTACCCCATCCCTTGCATACATATCACGTTTACCATAAAATTTGCCCCAGTTATCAGTGAATGGGATCGCAAATTCCATTAAGTATGTGTTTAGACAGCAATTTACACGAATTGCCCTAGACATCCATCTATTGCCCACTCCCCTTCTAGGCAAGATGTTGCATATGATTGGGATCCCTTCTTTAGACCTAATTACTTCTATGGCTGACTTGTGCTTATCCAACAGCTCTTGTCTCCTGCCAATCCCGATATCATTTCCACCAGCACTAAGACAGATGATGGGCTTATTCCCGTTACCTGACATGATATTATCCAACCTGTTGACTACGTCACCAATATGAACTCCTGGGAAGCACATTCCCTGTCTAATGTTCCTATCTCTGTTACAGAAAGCACGTGAGGTCACAGACCCTGAGCTGCTTGGGGATTAGCGTGGACGGTTACAAAGCATGGCTTGCTTCTACAGTGTTTTAAAAGCTGAGGTTGGAGAGTTGAAGGAGGAGGTCTTGCTTCTCCAGGAGGAGATTAGGAGGCTGAAGGTCCACCTCAATGGGCCTGGGAGAGAGTGTGAGGTGGTTGGAGATGTGGGGAATGAGGCTTCTAGCAGTGAGGTGCAGTCTGTCTCTCACTGTGAGGAGGCTGTAGGTGGGGTGGTAGCAACGGCTACCAGCAGTGAGGTGCAGCCCAGCACCTGCTACAAGTGGCGAGTTGTTCACAGTAATGGGAGGCGCATCAGAGTAAGGAAAGTTAAGAGTGCAGATCTGAAGGTAGGAAATCCTTCTCTGTTCTCCAGGTTGAATGTACTTCAGGGCCAGTGAAGGTAAGGGTACTACTGCCCCTGCTAATGAAGGTAAGCGCATCT